AAGGTGGTCTGTATTAGATACAGCCCACCTAATAATAAATAATAATAATAAAGGCAATTTTAACAAAATTATAAGGTGGTCTGTATTAGATACAGCCCACCTAATAAATAAACTAGACATATAATACTTGTTTGGAACAAGTATAGGTGGGCTGGTCAACTTAAATTTGAGGCAAAATAGAGCAAAAATAAGCGAGATACTGCTTAAAAATTCTTAAAAAACAATATCATGTAGTTTCATGACGTGAACGAAATTCACCTTCTATAGAGATAACCCAAATTATGAAGGCCTTTATGGCTTTTGACATGAGGCCTTTAATCGAGATTTTCACTATGATGACGTCATCAAAATGAAAAATAGTAATTATTAAGCTTGTAGATAATTGTCTTAGCTACAACATATCGAAATTTTGAAGAAAATTGATCAATATTTACAGAGATACAATCAATTTTCCATAAATATGCTGACGTCATAATATGCAAATTCGTATTTTGAGTTCCAAGGCCATTGTGATGATGTCACGATACACTTAATGGCCAAATGAGACATGAAATCATATCTTTAACTCATACTCTATCTAAATATGAAAAAATTGAGGATCCCGGTGCATTCCAAAGAGCTATAATGGATTTTGTATAGGCATGTTTTTGCCCATATATGCTATGTATTAAAAGAGCTCGCGCGCACGGACATTTATCTTGAATGGACGCTCATCTTGTAATTAATGGTCATAAAGAGATGAACATGGTATCAAATTGTTTGAAAAAATATGAGAACAATCATGAAAGAAACAAAAATGGCGATTCTATGTTGTGTCATGGTGTTACGCGCGAAAACAAGCGCGCATGCTCGTACGCGCGATTTTTTATAAAATGCTTAAAATGACTTGAAACGTATGCAAAAAAAATTAAAGACGATTTTGAGCATTTAAAAAATTTGCGCGCGTACTGACGCGCGGACGTACGCGCATGCGCGCATTTTTTGACCTGAATTTGACCGGACTGATATTGACCTTGATCATGATAAATATGAATGAGAAATTACTTTTGGTTATGAAGATGTGATCATGAGTTGATTTTCAGAAAATTTCACAAAATGGCGCCTAGATGACGTCATCAGTCAAGGTCAAGGTCGAAAAATTTGCTGTGTTTTGTGCATATGCCTATACATGTGTGTTTAAATTTTAAGATATTTGATTGAGCCAATTACCAATTATCTTGCACACAAAAAAGTAGGTCAAAATAAGAAAAATAAATAAATAATAAATAAATAATAAATAAAGGCGATTTTAACAAAAATATAAGGTGGTCTGTATTTAGATACAGCCCACCTGATAATAAAGGCAATTCTAACGAAATTATAAGGTGGTCTGTACGTTATACAGCCCACCTGATAATAGCCTAATAGTCCACTCCAAAGTTTATTAAACCGAAACGGAAATTCTTTTTGCCCAATTGATCATGAGCCCGGCAGCCACTGAGCAGCGCCAGATCGACGTTGCTCTATCCCTTATTGTTGAACGCCAAACAAGGTAGCAACAACTCCCATCTTTATACGCCTTTTGACCCCTATGACCTTTGACCTTTGTTCTACTAATCATATATCTAATAAGTTCGTCTTCTTTAATACAGTGATACAAACTATTATAATTTTTGAGCTTATCCACTTAATTTAAAAGTATAATCAGATGGTCTTCCTATGGAGAAACACACTTCCTTCAAGTTTGAAGTTCATATCTCAAGTGATTTTTGAGATATCTTGATGACAAAGATTTCTATCTAAAGCCATTATCCGGATACTGGCCGGGAGAGCTGTGACGCGTTCACCGGAAAAATTATCCTTCTTTTAGAAGGATAATGTAGGAGAAGCTAACCGGATAACGTAAGTAGAAACACACCCGTTTCGATTGAGTGCACATACCGGTGAGAAACCGGAACTCGGAGTGATCACGTGATCGGAATATTTTACCCCTACGCGCGCGACATTACAATCCCAGGGGGGTGTTTCACAAAGATCCTAAGTTGAAATTCTAAGTTGGACTTAAAAAACATGGAGAGCCATTTGTAGCCTTGAAGTTAAAGATATTCAAAAGTGAAAATTCAAGTATTTTAGAATTTTTATAAATTCTTTTATAAATTCCACATCAAGAACATTAAATCTCCTTGATAATAGAAAATATGAATGCTTTGAATCAAAATTGTATGCCTTCTAAACAAACTTTTACAAAATGTTTTCAAAGATGCTAACGGCTTTCTATAATGTTTAAGTCCAACTTAGAGATAAGTTCAACTTATGATCTTTGTGAAACACCCCCCTGGTTGACCTAGCAGTCCCACAATACTTTGAGGTGACCTTAGCCAGAGTTCGATGAACTTTTATTCACGGCCTTTTAAGCCGCGTTACGTATTTATCCGGATAATGCGTGTAGATAGAAACTGCCCTTTCCTGGCATTATACGCTTATTTCTTCAACCGGATAAATTCAGTATAAATAATAGAAACACGCTGAAAGATAATATCTGTAATTTCATAAATTTTACCTCTATAACCTTTGACCTACATACACTCTAAACAAAAATTCTTTATTTTCTTTTCATTACATTTTATTCATATTTTTTAGAGTTTTGAATACATAATAACATCTGCATTAACAGTTAATAGGGGGAAATGTAATCTTATCTTAAACAGAACTGGCCAGGGGCCGAATTCTGAACCCTGTGAAAAACAGCGATCAGAATATAGGTTCGGGAAGGAATCTAGATGAATCTACGCCATGATTTAATGAGTTTGATACATGTAAGCTGACTCCTCCTCTAAGACCAGTAGTCCTGTCTGAGCGAATGTCAATTGTAGAGGGCGAATGATGAGCAGAAAGCTAAGTTTCAGTGATGCCCATAACAGAGAGATTCATATTTATTGAAGAAATGGGTATTAAAGCATATATTTTCATGATTTTTAGATAAGCTTCTGGGATTGCAATGTAGGACACTAAAATATCATTATCAAATTATTTTGGAAAGTGGTAATGACAGTTCTTTTTTTCATTTATTAAAGAGATTTATTGACATCGAATAGCCACAAAGGCTAGTAAGTAATGTACTACATGAATGAGAAAGAGACAATGGGCAGAGGAGGTTGATTGTTTGGTTGGCTGGCATACAGTGTATCATTTTGAATAGAAGTGACATGATTGTGCATTCAAATACAAAGTAAAAGAGCAAAGATTCTGGTAAGGGAGGGGGAGATTCATAACCAGGAAGTTAGTGGTTGAGAAAAGATGAGTAAAGAGAAATTTAATGACATTGTCTTCCTATGTGATACACATTATCACAATGTTCAAAGCTCATACCTCTAATTGTTCTTGAGATATTGCAATTCCCTATAATCTAATCAGATTGTCTTTCTATGGTGATACATATTATCAACACGTTTGGACCTCATATCTCAAATTGTACTTGAGATCGGGATAACAAGGCCAATACCTGGATTTTCATTAGTGTACCACTTTGACCTTTTACCTGGCTATTCCAAAATCGACAAAGATCGTCTTCCTATATAGTTTGAGGCTAATACCTTTAATGCTTCTTAAGATATCGTGATGACAAGGATAAAACCTCTAATTTCCGAAATTGACCTCTTGGAAGTTTGACCATTGACCCCCTCACCAAAAATCTAACCAGATTACCTTCCAATGATGATACATATTATGAGCAAATTAAAACCCCATATCTCAATTGGTTCTTAACATATCGCAATAGCAACTAAGAATAAAACCTGTAATTTCAGAAATTGACCTCTGTGACCTTTTTCACCTATTTACCCCAAATCTAATCAGATCATCTTCATTTGATGATACATAACATATACACGTTTGGGCCTCATATCTCTAGAGGTTCTTGAGATTTTATGATAACGAGGCCAATACCTAGAATTTCATAAATTGACCTCTGTGACCTTTGACCTAGTTACTCCAAACTCTAATCAGATTGTCTTCATACAGTGATACATACTGTCATTCATTTTTAAGTTCATATTTCAAGTGGTTCTTGAGAATTCACGATAACGAGAAAGTGGGACGGACTGACGGACAACCCAAAAACATGATGCCTCCGATACCACCCCAGATTGGCAGATGCATACAAATGGCATATATGGCTTCTTTTTACTGTATGCTTATTTGGTGTTTATTGACTAACCCTACTTATAGGGTGGATTGGAAATGTGGGGATGGGAGGGATGGGGGCTTAATTCTTTGAGGCATGGTGGGTTCAAATGAAAGACGGAAGCAAAATGTGTTGGTGATGCCCTCCCATCATTTTGGCACAAACTGATTTTCTTTTCACAAGTCTTTGTTTTTTTCAGTCAATTGCAAGTTTGACCCTATATCCAGGCACGTCTAAATTTCGTTCTTTTGTCAAACTTAACATATCAGATTCAGAATGCGCCCTTTTTCCTTGAATGTGCCTTTCCCGGTTGTGTTGAAATAAGACACTTCCCACATGGTACCATGGATTTTTTTCTGACGACATGGATTCCCCTCCCCGTTTAGAATCTCCTTCCCGTTTTTCATCCTTTTCACCTGCTTTTGTTCCACCTTATCCTGGCAACACATATACATATATACAGAGTATAAACATTTATTTGTTTCCGGCTCCCTTCGTTTCGAACCTAATTAAGGCCAACAATTGAATGCCCTCTTAGTCCCTTTCGTGCTACATACATTTATTATTGATTATAATGTTGCATTTCCGCAATATTTAAGCACTCACTGTTTAGAAATAATGTACATGTACTATACAACTATACAATATGGCACTTGCCTCAAAAGCAAGGCCCTAACAACTTAACAATGTTTAGTTCATTGTCTGGTGCTAGCCTGCACTTAAAAACGGTCTTCTTTCTTATCTGGCAATTCCGATGTACAAGAGTCTAATGCCAGCAAAGAAGCTGATATTTTTTGCATGGTTGCACCAATAATACAATGATATCAGCTCTGCTTACCTCTTTCACTGTTAGGGTGTTTTGATCACTGCCCTCTATTTCAGTTAAAAATGTTCTCCACTTAATTGGCTTCCGAACTTTCATATACTCTGAGTCCTTTACGAGTCCATCAATGCGATCTTGAATTTTATTCACCTGCAAAATAAAAATTGATAACATAGATATAACATAACACATTCCAAACCTTTACATGCCTTTTCACGGCTTCTTCTCTTTTATCATACATAGAGTTCGTACTAACTGTGATAAAGAAACATTTGTTACAATATATTTTTCAACTTCGCGATCATCAATGTTAAATTGTCAGCCTATGTGTGAAAAGCCTTGTTGGAAATAGACTTCAAAATCATCTGAAAGGGAGTCATTGCAACAACCAAGCCGGAAACTGCTCACGTAATCAATGAAATAGAAGTGCAACCTTTCAAAATGTAATTTAATACTTGTTCTACTACCAATTCTACTACTACTTCATACATTAATAAGAACAGACAAATGGGACTGTGTCTCCTATATGCCTCCGCCCTACATTCAGAATAGGAAATGGGTGGAATTATTCATGACATAAAATTATGCAAACAAAACAAAATGTCAACTGACAACTATGATCTTGACCTGCTAGCCCCTTAATATTTTAATTTGGCCATCCTCCTATAGTAATACTGTCACCATGTCTGAAGCTCATACTCAAGTATTTCTTGACATATTGTGATGATTAGGGTAATAAAACTGATTTCTAGAAATCGACCGAAATCTACCACAGTTCTCTTCAGCGAATTGTCAATAAAAGTTATTTTGTATACTAACGTGCAATCCTCCCACTGGGTAACTAAAGCGATTTGGGATTTGTGTATTTGTATCCTTAATTCTGGCAACCAAAAAATGTTTACCACAAACTCAGTCCAAAAACAAAACATTAAGCACTGAAAATTTGCTCAGCCCACGTTCTATAAACAATCGTTTTAGTGCATTTTGAAATATTACTTTTTGGTGAGTTTGTAAATATGTAACATGGCATTACCTTGAAAAAGAATATCCCCAATGATCTGGTGATGGTGTATATAGAAATAGTAAGTAATCGATCAATCAATCCAAAGGTAAGTAGGTCTGTCAGCTAACCAATCAATCAACTCATTGATCACTCCATAAAAAGTTCACACGAGTTTAAACTTGAAAATAAATGTAAGCTCATTCTTAAAATGCTAAATTATAAAATTAATGACCAATATTGTTTGCTTCAATAATGGAATGAAAAGAAAAAAAATGTCCTACTTTTGTGCAGCTCTACCAAGGGGTAAATTTGTGCCTGGCAATGTGAGAATTACACAAATTGCAGGGCCCGCATTAAGAGCTATATCAATACTGATTTGTCTAAATATGATAATGTCATTATCATCATAATAATAATAAAAATGATGAATGAAACTGCAACAAATCATCAGAGAGTTTGTTTTCATTTGATATTAGAGACCCTTATCTTTCCCCGTGTATCTTTTGAGGAGATACCTTTTTAACCATAAATTGTTTTTGAGATGGACTAGGGCTGAAATAATAAAGCACATTGTAATATCACATAATGTAAATAGTATTATTAACCAATAACTTACTTCAGACCTTTCAGAAAATTGATTGTCAATCACACATATGGGAAAGAGAACTTGCTTCTTATAGGGTTTGGATTCTATCATTTCCTTCAGTTCTTGAACTTTAGACTCCACCTGTGTATAAATCAAATATAGGGGTAACATTGCCGAGATTTAATTGGTACTAGGTACCCCTGCCCCTCTCTCCCTCCCGTTTACTACTAAATCTGATTTTGCATGCTGTTCTACATAGTGGCTTTCATGCCATATGATATATGATATGTATTTGACGTGTTGTCCTTTGAATTATAATAAATGGCAATTGTTAACATGCTTCCACATTAAATGATTAAAATAACTCACATTAACGTTGTAAATTGGAATGTTTTCAATTGTACAATGGTTATATAATTCATTAGACAGAGGAAGGGACCATCACTGCAATTTTTGATGAATGAGTTGATGGTTGAAGTTCAGTTGCATGATATTACAATTTCAGTGAAGAAATATTTGTTTTGTTGGTATCATTACCATTATATCATTCATTCCCATCCATATACACGTAACTTGCGAAGTACACAGGACAAGCTGCTTCTAAAGCTAGTAACTCCATGGTCTAAAGCTACCTCACACAAAAAGCAAAGTAATTCTTGAAGATTGTGCTTTTAGTTGGACCGCTCCAAAGCTTTGGAATAACCTACCACTAGACACAAGTAAAGCCTCATCTGTTGCTATCTGTACATTTTTGTTGAAAACGCACTTATTTTCAGGAGCTTTCAAATATTTTGTTTTTAATTATTTTGTAGTTTTGTTTTCATCACAGCGCAGTAGAGTATATGTATATAGTAGCTGTGCTATATAGATTGATCTACTTATTGATTTATCGTTCATGTAATTTCCCAATGATATCAATATTTGGGTCAAATTGTTGTTATCACTATTACAGAGGCTGTTGATGATGAGAGATCAATGAAGTGAAGACACAAATCTCAGTTCTGACTCCAGATGCTTTCAATTTTTTTGTCAAATATCTTGAACCATTTCATTAAGTAATTGCAAAATTGAATGTGAAGCCTGCATTTATATAAGAATGATAACAGACTAATTATTCAAAACAAAAAATGAAGTGCGTAAATCAATAATACCATCATGTTACCCTGAAGGAATAAAAAAAACGTTCATCAACCGAGTCTATAATATGCAAAGCCTGTTGATTTTGATCTCCGAAATCTGTATAAACAATATCATATTTGCAATTGATATTCTTTGCATGATATGATAATTATAAATAATATGTGTAATTGGGTTTTTACAGACTTTTATCAATCAGATATGATTATTTACATCTGGGGACCGATCTTTAACGTCACTATCTGAAAGACGTGACTCCGTTTCGAGCCGGGGTCGCGTGTGCCAGTTTGCAGGCAAAGACAGAAAGCTGACCAAGTGAACATTCCGCTAGACCGACTCCCATCGCCATAAATAATGATAATAATAATAGCTCACATTTATAATGCGCCTTATACTTTGTTTCTAGGCACGGAACATATTATTACCCCGGTCATCGGATTCAGGCTTACCCGCACATAAGGTATGCACATTCTCCACTCCCTGGGGAGCATTCCAGCCAGTCGCCATTTTACAAGCGCCATTGCTAATCAAACCACATTAGCTTTCGCATCCTACCGGGTACCCATTTTAACACCTGGGTGGAGAGTGGCAAATGTAGATCAATGTCTTGCCAAAGGACATTAGTGCCGCGGCGGGACTTGAACCTCGGACCTTGTGATCTACAGTCCGGTGACATATCCACTCGACCACGACACCTCTACAATAACTTATACCTTCCCCTTTTAAACTTGACTTACCTTCTCCTTGCTGATTCGCAAGCCCTCATCACCCGCAAATGTCCCTATTAACAAGACCTTTGGTTCATATCGTGAGTCTAGATGAGATTCTGGTACTGCATGGGTGTAGACTGACATCAACCAAAAATGTAACAAGTCCAGAATGGTACGATGTGTTCTTACAGCAGACCCCTTCAACTGAAATTGCAAATCAAGAGTGAAGTTTAAATTGTCGAACGCAAAAATGTAATAAGTCCAGAAATCTACCGCATGAATATCATCAATGACTTTGAGTTCTTCCGCAATTTTAAGAAGAAAGTTAAAATGGTAGATTAAAAATATTTGTTTTCTTCTTCAGAATATAGGGGGAAAAGACACATGAAAGAATCCGTACCAACTCTGTATAGTTAAAAGCACTGAATAGTATGTTCTTACATATCCCCAAGGCACCCCTTTATTAAATGATTAGAGTGTGTATTCTATGGTCAAACTTGGGTAAAGAAAAGTGGAGGGGATACATATATTATAGGCATTGGATGTGCATGCTAATAGGGCTGTGACCCCCCAGCCCCCCTTATCCCCAATATTTTGTTTAAATTGCAAAATTGAATCTTTTGGTACCCCCACCTCATATTGGTATGCATGCCCCCACATTTGTTCCTGGACAACCGAAAGAGCCTCATTTTTCTATAAATCTCAAATAGCAACACAAGAAGACGCCTATTCTAACTCTGTAGCACAATTCTAGTGTGCAAGTGGTGCATTGCTTTAGCGATTCATATATCAGGATTACAGGCATTAATCTAAAAAGTATGTTGGTTACTGGTACTGCAGTTTTGCAGCTCCAAACACATTTGTAAACATTACAGTGATATGTTTACCCCGCAAATCTTTCAGGGGGGGGGGGGAGGGGGTAAATGACAGCCGGTCTGCAACCAATCATGAACATGTGCATTGATGTGTTTGATCAATTTGGCATCCTTTCTCCAAGTGCCCAGTTGCTGATTAACACTTATTTCAAATCTAGTTATCAATAGTTGTTGTTGGTTGCAGCTTCAGTTGTCGCTGGTTGGCGTCCAGTTGCCACTTAAGTATGAATTGGGATGTGGGTGAGGCCTAAGAATGGAATGAAAAATACTTACTTGCTTTTCATCTTCTTTGCGCGGTGCGTCATCACTCAGCTCAAGGTGAAGCGGGATAACGAGAATGTAAAGAGACCGCCACGACAGGAAAAGCTGTACAATTTATTGAGTGTCATTAAAAATGCTTGACAAAACATGTATATCATTTGTGTGTATACGTATGTGAATATATACTGGCAGATATTTCTGTTCAAACAATTTTCTATTGTAATCGTAAATTATTATTCTGATGGATATGCCCCTAGCCAAGAACTAAATCCCTCCATGGTTTTGTACGACACATGCTCCTGCGACACTTGCGTTGTATTTATTTCCTACGCTAACTGATCAAATTCCTAACTTCAACTCTAACCCTAAAAATAACCTATTACCAATTTTCTCTCCACCCCTATCTTTTTCTCTCTCTCTCTCTCTCACTCTTTCTTTTACTTTCTCTTCTTCTCCCCGCTCTCTCTCTCTCTCTCAGCCTTTGGGTCTATTTTATTTTCTTAAAAATTAGTGCCTGTTGTATTAGGCACGTATAAAAAAGAGTAGCATTTTTTAATGCGCTTTTATTAATGCACTTGTATTTTGCAGTTTAACCTAAAGAAGCCATGTGGGCGAAAATAGTTACACCATTGCTATGTCAACAGAGACTTTTTGGTATTAAGCCTCCATTTATATCTCCTCCGTCGCAGAACAATAATCTCTTCCACCCCCCCCCCCCTCTCTCTCTCTCTCTTTCTCTCTATATATATATCCGGTCTATCAAGGCGACTTACTGGATGTGTGATGTAGTAAATTTCCTGTCCTCCAAAGTCCCACATGCTGTAGGTTATATCAAGTGCGGATGACTTCACGTTTATGATCTCTTCACGAGTAATACCTTGTGAAATTCTAGCAATTTTTTCATTACCACTTGTAGGCAAAACTTTTACGCTACTTTCAGCATCTCCCATCACAAAAGCGTCGTATATTTCAGACATACTTCCTTGTCCTAGGGTTGATCGGTTGCTGCCTGATTTGACGAAGCAAAAAAATGAATAAAATGTAAGTGTTGTTATAAAAATGAGGCATTGTACACATACATTGCACTAATATAGTAATAGATAATGTAAATTTGCTTTCAATTATATGTGATGAAAGAGCTGCAATTATTACAAGAGTAAATATGGAAAATATTAACGGCAATCAATTAAAATGGGAAATAAAAGTAGAACAAAACATAAAGGTATTGTGGTGAAGTGGATAGAAATCCCCCATGTCTGAAAGCAATTTACCTTAATAATGTTAGTGATATCCTTGAATGGAAAATATTCTTTAGACCCACATTTGTGTACCCCAAAAATAATAATAACAGACCGACCTTTTGATGCCAGTATTTTTTCCTCATTTTATGTCATACTAATTGAATTGAATGTCATGAATTAGCATGTACAATTGAAATATATGTCCCAAAATAAATTTGGCGTACAATATCCATGTAATAAAATGCACGTCCAAACATAATTTTTTGAGTGGGCAAAATCATGACCCTTTGGCCCTCAAGTCCCTATCTCGCGCTGCGCGTCTTGGCGACAAATTACCAACAGTATTCGCAAGGGAGATTCCAACATCTAACTGTAAGCGGTTATAACGGACCGTAAGTGCCATTATTATCTACAACTATTAATACATTAAATGGATGTATTATTATAGTATTAATGACTGCTTTGAGAGAAATAGTTGTTTTTATACGCTCAAGGGAAGGTTAGAATTGTGCTATTACCCGAGGCGTGCCGAGGGCAATAGCCCAATTGTAACCTTCCCGAGAGCGTATAAAAACAACTATTTCTCGAATATTAAAGCAGTCATTAATACTTTTATATGCCGAAAAAAAATAGACTAAAAAATAAAAAATAAAAAATAAAAAAACTTTCGTCGAAGATGGGATTCGAACCCTTGCATACAAAGGGTGATGTATCCAAAATCACCGCCTTAAACCTCTCGGCTATCGCGCTCTGCTCCCTCACTTAGCAGTTTTCTCTAATATATACATTAAAATGGATTGACAATGGCTTCGGTGGTGGATGCTTCGCTTCTGCTCCATTAAACGGGCCCTTCTTTTACTTTTGCAATGCATATTGGCACGAACTTAGATCAAGATCTATCGGCAGATGTTGTTTTTTTGTTTTTGGAAGTTTATTTTCGTCTTCATGTCAACAATGCAAGATAAAATTGTCGGTAAGATCGATCGAGATTCAATTGTATTGAAATTACCGACCAATTCTTCGAAAACGTACGGTATCCTCGATCACTCAGACCATTTTTTAACATGTAAACCTATGGGGTAACCATGGAGACTGACCTATTTTCCCAATAACCATGGTTATTGGGATTTTTCGGGAACAGTTAAAGTTTATGAATGCAATTTCGACCAATCAGATGGCTGGATTTCTTAAGTGAGGTATATAATTTAATCTATCAAACTGCAGGAAACTATACAACTATACAACTTTACAGCTATACATCCATGGAATGCCAGATAAGCGCCGACAGGCCGTTTTGTATGGAGAAGGCACATGTTTGCTGACATAGCCGCCCACTGGCGCTTCTAGCTCCAGTAGCGGTAAGCTCTGGTTTGGTTAAAACTATACAACCATTCGACGAATATATAATTATATAGTTGCATGGTTGTACTGCTTCCTGCGTTCTGATGGGTTAGAAATAGTTTTATTGTACAGAATAATGGCATGTACAGCCCATCATAAACGTTCACGGAGGTTCTCAATTTATCTTGTTTCTTTCAAGGCCTCGCTCTTGTGTCGCTAGAATTTCAAACAAAAATTTGTTCTACAAGTTTTCTCTCAAAATAGTTGCCGAGTTGTCAAGGGTGGCTCGATTTCCCCTCAAACTCTTGTCAATTAAATTTCTGTGAGTCAGAAAGAGAAATGCAAAACTTTATGAAACTAAACTGTGCCTGTTTGGAGACAAAAATAAGAATCTGACGTACGTTCCAGGCTTGAGGCAGGTGCCAATTGCCCTGGTACCCGTGGCAGCGCGACAAAATTGTGAATTATTTGAGAATAAATTGCAAACAAAGTACAAACTTTGTTACTAAACTGCGACAAAAACAAAAAACATTCCCATAAATGTTGTGCAATAGTCGCACGACGCATGTGCAAACTCCAGGCAAATTTTGACCCAAATTCATAAAATGTTTCTTAAGTACCACTTCAGTGTGTGATTCCAAGTGAAAATTGTCACCAGGTCGCCAATTCCATCGCAATTTTGTGTTTCCAGCTAGTCCTGAGTTGTCACAGCCCAGTTAGATACTTGCTTGAGTGTCCATGATTATTTAGAAACGTGGTGTAAAGAATCATTGTATAAGCGAAAGAAGCGTTCAGACTAGAAAACAGCATCGGATAAACGTGTTCATTGTTGTATCATTCGTATCAAATATACTTGATGAAGCATGAGACAAGAAGTATCTAGCTTGCAAATCGTAACTTTACCTGTATTACCTCTAAAGTTTCACCTTACCTCTGTTTTGAATCATCATTGATTCGGTTAGTTCTTCAACATGTCCCATGTCAGAATTTGCAATCTGTAAGAACAAAACACTCTGAAGTAAATTTGGATATAACAACATAGTGAATGACTAATAATAATTCAACAGAGAACATGTATAGAATTTAGAAATCCACAAATGCAAGTTCTCTGTGATATACGTGTATGACACAAGTATAATATATAAATATATATAGAGAGAGAGAGAGAGGGGGAAGAGAGAAAGGGAGTCAAGAAGAGATGTATTGAATTACGTTGAGTAACAGCTATTGGCTCAGAACAGGAAGAAATTTATAGTTATTTATGTTTCTAAAGAGACCAAATAAATGACTTTTTCAGCATTTATTCTATGAAACTAAGGGTCAAATCATAACGAGCACATATTATTAAATAATCGGTTTGTTAAGTTCACACTTACATGTCTTTGTTCACGTGTCGGAGCCACATTTTCTACAAAGGAAAAGGGAATGCAATAAAGATTTTCTTTAAAACAAAAACAGATCACAGCCTACCAAACACGTACACTGACACGTATCTTTGGATCTTATAAAAATGGTGCAGAGTAGTTGTAAGGTGTCTTTGAACAGAATAGTATAGAAAACTAAGTATAGTGCTGTTTAACATTTCCCCATTGATGATATTAACCTTGAACTATGTTTTCTCTCCCCCACTTCTTTTCTACATTCAAGCATTCAATTGGTGCTATCACAATTGCACTGGTGCTTAGAACGGTTTAATATATTAAATGAATAACAGTATATTATTAGAGAATATTAGATAGAACTTGTGATCATACCTTTAATCATCGGTTGTTGTGATGAAGTAGAGGGTGTTTCTAGGGTCTATATCATGATACATAAAAGAGAGAGAGAGAGAGACGAACATCATAATAGGTAGTACAGTCTCAAGATCATTAGTCAGCTTATACATTTTATGGTACAACGAATCCTCTCCTTTCTCTAATAATTCAATGAAACATCAAAGTTTCCGAGCAAAGCGCAGGAGGGGGGGTAACTGAATTCAGACAAGGATCAAGAGTCGAGAATGGTACAACAAATCCTCTTCTTTCTCTATAAATAATTTAATGAAACTCCCTCTCCCTGAACCCTCCCCCCTTGCGTGCTCACTCTGGCTGCCCCCCCCCCCAACATAAAATCCTAGCTACGCGCTTGCTTTAAAGAGATAAGATTGAAATATAGGGCCTCAGTCAGAATATTACTCGCGCAGTAGCTTCTGATAATATTTGGGCTGTGTATCCTATGAAACAATGAGAAAAAAAAATCGACGGCTTTGCATTTTATAGTTTGTAAAAAAAGAAACTTTGTATTCATATGGAATACGGAGTAATATGCACACATTGGTATTTTGTAAACAAACGAGAGTGCTCAAGATAATTACAAAGAAATTGTTTAATATATTATGACAGTCATAAAACACATATCTAGTACCACAAGAGTTTAATTGTTCTGGATTTCCAAATAAATGGAATTTTTTTATTGTAATTCTGGTTGTATCACGCACTGTTTCTGTATTTATTTCACGAGGATTCAAAGTTCATTTCACAACACCTGCAGTTATTACGGGATGGGGTTATAGCCTTTCCCCAAAAATTAAAAAATACCAGTATTTGGGCAGCGAGCTGCCCGAATATGCATTTTTGATATCTTTGCTTGTATATTTTGGTGATAAATAACACTTTCTCAAAATATTTGCTCGCTCGCTTCGCTCACTTGCCAAATTTTGAAACCAGAATTTTTTTTTCGGGCAAAAGGCTTCAGCCCCCCCCCCACCCCCCCCCCCCTGATTAAAAACAGGGAATCTTGATATTGGACAAGAGACGTGACGTGAGCCTGCCCCCTTTCTAAAATTGTGCCTGCTTGTAGGTACTGGTATGCCTGCTTCTAATAATGACCTTGTCAGTATTGGTATGTTGAGTTGAAATAACGGTCCATGCAATTTTCCAATTTCTCCTTGATCTGCGCCTGTTTAATTGCTATCACAATGAATTGTAATGACTAAATGATTAGATTGGCCGAGCTAACCTATATTACATATACAGGAGCATATTGTAAAACAGAAGGGAGACAAAATATTATTAAATAGTTCCAAATTCTTTACTCACGTGAGGACTTTCGGCGGTATTAATGCCTATGAACAACAAGTTGAAGAAAAAGGAAAAACATATGAGAATATATCATGTAAAAGCCTACAAAAATTGTTTTGTGGGTTGAATTCGCGTATGTTTTGAAGGGTACTCTTTAAAAAAAATCATTTTATGACGATCTTTTATGAATCTCTACCAATTGATTATTTGGTTTTATAGATTTTGTGTTGCTTTTATTCAGGTTCCATGCAAAATTACCAAGCATATTACATTTTACATAGCATGAACATTTCTCTACGTAATTATGAAATAGATAATCTTGAATCATGGTAATTAATAACATGACAAAAATGTTCTATAAATCATTAAATATGGAAATGAAAATTGAACCTTCTTAAAAGCTAGGCTTGTCGCGTATAGGTTCTCTGAATTATAATACTAAATTACACTAGACCAAGTCAAAAAGAGAAATGAAACAAATACAACAATAATGGCTAATAGTGACAGAGAGAAAAAGAGAGGGGGAAATGATAAATAGATCGATAGTACAGTATATGGATAGAAAGAGAGGGGGGTGGACAGAGAGATGAAGCGAGAAGTAAAACGAAGGAGAAAGATAGTAGTAGTATAAATTAAGATGGGACTGGTAAATTCTCTAGACATGCTAGGCACGGGGAAGAGAAGAAAAAAGCAAACAGGAATGAATTGACAAATATAATCATGGAAAAGAGCTGTCTAATTCCTAAGAAATTTATTGTACAAACCCTTTCAATAACAGTGATATCAAGAATGATATTTTCAGGTAAATTACCTATTATATTATTATTGATAAAATTAATACAAATTATTTGTTATAATAGGGAGCTAATATCTAATTAAAAGAATTCTCTGAAAGGCTTGGTATGTTTACTGGTTGTCATTAGGGACTTTTAGATTGAGTGGACGAGAACACGACGAACGCAGACTGATTATGCGTGTCAACGTACTTAACTGCCCATGTTGACTACAATTAGAAATATTTTAGATTGCACTCGATGATATACATGCATGCAGGAAGTAACACTATGAACATCACGGACAAAGAAAGAGGACAAAATATACAGTTCCTCATTCTACCTTCAACAAAAGAACATCCCTTCACTGCTATTATGTAAACATGCGTAGAACAGGCGAATATGCATGTGACACCTGTTCTACACATTTTTACATAATAGCAGGGAAGGGATGTTCCTTTGTCTACCTGAGGAACTGTATATTTTATGCGCACACGGCATACTAGTACCTTGAGCATGTAAAGGCGCTATAACTTAGGAAAATCAAGGTTGACACATTCTCGCAAATCTAAAAGTCCCTAATGTGAAGGTTAGGTTACCTGGACTATTTGAACTCCTTGCCACTTTCGAAACAGAGTCCACTGACTATGAAGGAAAAATACATATACAGTACATAAACACATAAAATTGCACCCTGGTATGGGATTGAAGGTCTTTTAATTTTTTTTTTATATACCCACACTCATTTCTTGATTTGTTATATCCCACAAACTAATAACCTTGCCATACCATTGTTCAAAGTGAATTTCAGCAACAAATGACAAATTGCATATATCTGTCATAGAAGTGATAGCGAAAACTATCACACAATTGTTAGTCTTCATTTGCTTTATTATGCCTCAAGTGCATACACTTAATAAAACGGTGACGTCGATACTACACTCAGCAAAAACATAGTGGACACACTTTATTGCTCAAAATTTTCATTTAAACCAGCAATAAAATATTAACAAATATTTATCAAATTAAAGAAGAAATAATACACTACTAACATCAATTTAGATAAAGTTTTGGCCACTTTCACGCATGAATGGGCACATTCATTTCATGTAGAAGGTCAATTATGCAATTTCAAAAGTAGATCAAGTAACCATTCAAATGTAAATGAACATGGGCATGTGTAAGACATTCTTGTTCAACAATGAACACAAAGGACTGAGCATTGGATATCGACTGTTTAGTCTCAGGACTGCATGGTTCTGACGAGATGTTTAGTCCTTTCCACTTTAGCTTGTGGACAAGTCATAGGCCCTATAAAATCCAATGCTCATCAAAATTTGAATGGCCAGTCGCCCCATATATGTAATTTTATTTAAGAGAGGCATTTTAATATATATATATATATATATATATAAGTATATTATCAATATTTATATGTATATATCATATTTAAATGTGAACTTACAGTCTTTGGGTTATCTTCACGCTTAACTCCTCTCCTTTCTGTTGACGATTAAAAAAAAATGTCATTATGAAACAATCTATCATGATAATATCATTTTTTTGCTATTGGGTAAAATGTATTTCTATGAAATTGGAAATATAAAGCATAAAGCAGACCCGATACATAACACTAACAACAGAAAAATGGATTACTCCCAAACTCTTGTATCCATGAAAGCTAACGCAGTACGTGTCAGACTCCGAATCTGTATACAATGTGTAGTTTTGAGCATATGTCAAGATAACTGTGGTGAGTTGTAGACTGGTAAATAATTCAAGCCTATGATACACTAGGCATAGGACTTGTTGTCGACAACCAAAATAAATTGGGACTATCGGAAACCAGTTTGCAAGATTTTAGAGTTGCCGATCAGTAGGCGATCAATTGCCAAATAAATATTGTCCGATCATCAAAGATGTGTGTAAACTACTTTGCGACCACACATGGATATATTTTTAAATGGATGGGAGTTGTTTGGCGATTGATAGGATAAAACAAACAACTGTTCACAGAGCAATGGTTAATATTGTAACGTGGACCGCAAGTTTAAATGGCGGCAGGAGTATAATCACTGGCACAAACAAGCATAATAAATATTAAAAATTTGTAGCGAATGCAATTGTTTAAAGGTTGTGTATTTTCATTTATATCCTTCACTCTGACATGTTTCTTACTGAATTAATATGTTGCATTATAAAATGAAAAAGAGAGAAGAATAAAGGGAAACAGTTACAAAATTGAAGATAGAAAGACAATGGCAGGGGAAGTAGGAAATGCAACAACAATAAAAACACGGGATTTGGCGAGGGTAATGTAAAAGCAGGGAAAAGGAATCTCTTTCACAAGAGCAGAAGTCATCTTTTTATTCAACTATTTCTCAAGTGGCTGCCCTGAAAGAACAAAGAGTGATGTGCAACTCTACTACGTCATGGCTATAAAGTGGTTGCCAGTAATCGGATATGATAATGATGTTCATGACTCACACTTTTGAAAGTACGCTTTATTTTTGTGAAAAAAAACATAACAGATTATTTTATTAAAATTATATAAAAACCAAATGTTAGCGGTATTATGAAGTGGAGGTACTTTTTTCCATATAACAGACAGTATTATAATTATGTAACAATTAATAGATTGCATTGTATTTAACTTTTAGACTGACATTTGTTCTTTCTGCCAGGCTGCTGCAGCAGGGAAAAAGTGTATATGAATAAAACATGACAGGATATTCTAACATGATTAAGTAAATCAAGAAACAGTACAACCGATGATTGATTTTCATAGCCTTTTTTTTCTTTCTCTCTCTCTCTCTCTCTTCAGTGGAAAATAAAACAAAATAACAAACAATAACAAATAAACAAAAGCAGTAGAAGGAACACAATTTTCTAAGTTTCTATACAGTTCTCAACCACTTTCCCAACCACTTACAGCCCAGTAATAGTCAGCAAACTCTGGTCATTTATTGGCGATCAGTCGTCAGTCCGATAACCGGAGCATAACCTTGATAAATCAATCAGTATTGTTTACAAAAGCTTTTTAATGCAGTAGCGTAAACCTCCAAGCGATCAAAATGATCCGGATACCAATTACATATCACCGAAAACCTTTTAAAGACTGCCAAAACCTCTTTGTGACATGTGACAACTAACTCATAATTAGCGGTTGTCAGGAGTCGGTGACCGGTTGTAGTTCTACCGTGATTTAGGCTTATTAAAGCTTTCTAAAGTTTCAAATGTTACTCATAATATAGCTATTGGAAAGTAATTAACGCATTGCATTTTGAATTGCACTTGCCTTTGAAAAATCAAACCTCTGAAAGTGTCATATATATCTTATCATGTATTAAGTGTTCTGAAATTTCAACAAACAAATAACCGTAACGAACGTACCTGTTCTTGCTAGATCACTTTGGTGTTCTTCCTCTCCTGTGGAACACTAAAAGAAATAAAATAAAATGCTATTGTTATGAACCTTAGATAAAGATTTGATGGTTATTGTGCAATTTGTTATTGTGATTGATACTGTCTAAAATTTATTGGGAAAGGTTTATTTCATGTAATTTAAACAAACCGCTGTGCATTATGGAAAAGGATTATATCTGGGACTATACACACACATGGTTTTCAAATCTGTTTATTTAAAATTAAATTTGAAATGTAAGAAAATTAATTTGAACACTGCTGCAGTATGCCTACCCACAGCTATAACATGAATAAGAATCATTTTAAAATTTTCATCTTTTCGCTTCTTTAATCGAAAACATGTGTAATAAAATAAGTATAAGCGTGCATTTATATTGAAATATCAATTTTAGTATGATAAACTATGCTTTAAAAAGTAAACTGATGTTTACATGATTTCTGCAGGTGACTTATACCAGACGCTTATGAATAATTTGATAAAAGTTTTAGCATCATTTATGCCCAAGTCCTATCTACACTTATTGCTGAACGTTTGTAGTTATATCATTTTTTTCTTCTTTTAAGTACCTTTTAGGTATCAGTAAATACTTTATATTACACAAGGCATATTTCATGTTCATGTAATTGTTCGGAAATGCTGTATACAATTACTGTTGTTCTTGTTCGTGAATAAAGGCTAGTTTAGTTTATGATGACTTGGAGTATAATATGCTTCATATTTTTGTAACTTTTAAAACAAAACCCATTGAATATGCAAAAGTTGCCATTCATCTTCATGTGAGAAAATGCAGCAGTTTTTTACCCCGGCAGTTTACCCCGCAATAGAGGAATCCTAACCCCAAGAAATAAATAGTTATTTAGAAAGAATATTTGTATTCTTGCCCATTAATCTACAGGATTCTCTACCAAAGTGTGTGAAAGAGGTACAATGCAAGATATTCTTGGCGTAATGTAAAGATTCTCAGCACGACATGGGCATCGCCGTTTTCTTGATAACGTAAAGAACTATACGAGGGAGTTTATCAAGTATTAAAATGTATTCCAATTTATGGATGCTTACTTCCCACGTGTGTCTGGTAAGGAAGTATTTCATGCACATGTTATTATCATTTGTACTATGATTATCAATGTATTAATAAGTTGTTACTCTTCTGGGATGAAGTTTTCGCATAAATGAAATAGACCTCTCATCTGCTATATTTTAGTAGTTTTAAATCAATGAGATACAATTTTTTTCCCCTGTTATGTATTTATCACCAAAAAGAATTTTCATCTTGTCAGTTATGGTGTTTCGTCATTGTAAGGTAAAGGTTTTTTTTTATTGAATTAAAAGTCTTTCCAACTAAAGGTTGGCGCATAACAAATGTACAAGTTTGCCTGGTACGTCATGTTATCAAGAAAATGGCTGTGCCTTTGTCATGCTAAAAGGCATTACATCATGTCAAGAATATCTTTATTATGTCGGAGATCGGGATTTTTTATCTTCATATTTTATGACAGTGATTTCATCGAATCAATTGTATCTTTATCATATTTTTAGTCCTGTCCATATCTTAGAGAACTAACAAATTTAAGATTGAATTGTTGAGTTGAAGTCTAAATAACTTGGGATGTTTCTAATAATCACTGACAAAAGTTCAGATAATGATTTAATGAGACTCTTGAGATGATTCCACTGCATTATATTTTAATTATCAAGGAAGTGTCTTGTTCATATCGTCAAATTTTGTCCTTAGCCAAATTTGTACCTAATAAATAATGATGGCTTGATATTCATAATTAGAATTATGTAATTATTTCCTTAAGCACGTTGTTGGGGTATGTCAACTTCGTTTAAAGAGCCTAGTCGGTCCCTTTGTAGTTGGACGTAGGAGAGTTGGAATTATTTATTCCATCCAAACCTTTTATTTGATGTCCATTGTATTTCTTTATTATTGATTTGTTGCTTGTATTAAAAGTTTTGATGTGGTGGGAGTACTTGTCGTTTTATATATTCTAAAATTGTTCTTGATGTACTTGTACATCAGGGCGGGGTATGTTATCAGAGGATAACAAGGTGGCTCCATTTGAGGATTTGCCAGTCATTTTATTATGATGATGGTCTTAGTGTTACAAAACTTCATTATTATCTGTAGATGGAGACACAGATGTACAATAGGGAATGAATGAATTTGTCAGGTTAGCCAAGGATAGATGTAGTACTTTTCATTTCGTATTGATGACCGTATATTTCAAGAACATTTGTATTTTCCGTCCATGGTATGATTTTATATTACTTGATTCCACTATATATTTGTCTAAAGGTTCCATTTGTTTAATGCTATTTTGAGAGACTCCTGATATTTTTTTTTACAATTTAATTTTATGAAATTTATTATCCAACTCTTCCAGTCCATTTATGAGTCAATAATGTATTTGAATATAAAATATACAATGTCATGAATGAAATATGACAATATGTGATACAACTGAAATATGCAATTGATCTAAATACTCATAACTATATTTTCTGTGTCTTTACAGGTTTTTTTTTTCTCGTTTCTTTTTTATTATTAAAGAACAACATGAAACTACACTCATCCACTCGATCCATGTTTACCCACGACAATAATAAATATTTCACTTACATTTTCGTAAGGAATAGCAATAGGCAAGAATAAATTTCATCTTTCAACATCCCTACATTTATTCTTTGGAATTGATATTAGAAGTCAATATCACAGATGTTAAATAGCTGGACTGGTCATCTTTTTTTATCACATTATGTTTCTCCTATTTTAAATTTATCAAAATTTAAATGTTTATTAGGCGCATATCTGAGAATAGAATCCACCATGATAATATTGTCACCATTAGAAACAGATAACGATTACATTGGGAATATTGATGTCGAACATTTCCTGGAGTGACGATCAAGTCAGATTACTCTTAATAGCTTGTTTTAATCGGGACCCAGCATTCAATTCAAACATTGCGCTCTTACCGATCTGTTGCTTCTGAAGCTAGGGTCCATTGTTGCTATGCTGTTTATTAGGTCACCTTTGGCTACAAACACGAGGCAAAATAAATATACCTAGCATTAATAACCAAACCTTGGCTTTTTTTTTACAAATACAAATAATGTTTTTAATTTGAACTTGTTCACAATCTTTTTGCATTGATAACGTATTCCTTAAAGTAGACATTCATTGAACATTAAAAAGTATGGCCGATAATGTATTACTATAAACCAGTTAGCTTGTAGGTAGCAATTGTAAAAGTTTTAGGTCAAAATAAAAAAAGATTAACACAAATAAAAGCACCTCTCAGGAACTTGAAATACGCCAGGGAATATAGCCATGTTTGATAACGCCAGCAGACAGCAGACTACGTCCTATAACTGATGAAAATATTTCCATTGAAATTATTTCCCAATCATAAGAGTTTGATTCCTTTAAAACATCAATGTATTTCAAATCATTCACAAAGATAATTGACTGTGATGCTGATAATCATAATCCTTTGCTTAGACATATTCAGGGCAAGGATTAAATGCTAGATTAAACAAGCATTGAACTATCAGCCCACTTTCAAATCGAAAAGACCGCTGAACAATAGACACGATGGTGTCCATTCCTGATTGGAACGATGCACATGCGTTAGTGCGTAGAAGAATGCATGAGCTGTTTCCTACTAGACACAGTGAAGCTACAACTGATTATTATTTAAATTTATTCATAACGTTAGATTTTTTCATCAAAATGAAACCACGTCAGAAGTTTAGAATGAGTCAACAGATCATAAAGTTACAATGATGCTGGTGAAGTAAGAGAAGTGGAGACGACGAAACAGGAACTAAATATGTGTGCATTGTTATGGAACGTCGTCTACTTATGCTAATTATGTCACTTGAGTAACGTCAAAAATCTCTGCAGTGTTCAGAACGATCTTCAAGTCCAAAAATAGGGCGGTATTTTAAAATTAAAAATTAATGATAATCATTACTTTGAATTCCACCAAGCGGGAAATGATGATAAACTTGCCCAATCTAACCACCCCTTCTGCACAGGCTATATTTTTTTTCTCCATAGCACCGAAGGCATTGCCGGCTTGCTTAATTATTAACTAATATGCTTAATGTCCGAGGCATATAGACACCATGATTATGTATAGGTCGAGTGCCATTGGCGGCAAATTGCATAACACCGGCACGCCGCGGCATGGCGATCAAGGGGCAAATCACATCGGCTTGCTCTCTTGATAAAATAGAGGAAAAAGATTACATTCGGGCAAGAGACGTTAGTACCTTTGTCAACTGCGCCTTTACGCATATGAGTCCATTCGAAGAAGTACTGTAAATTAACCACCAAGGATATGGGAGAGGCATTTCATTCATTATCTGTTGGGCTGACAGCTGAAAATCCCGCCCCCCCCCCCCACTCAGTGTTATTTAGGGTACGCATATGCGTGTTCCAACCGACCCCCCCCCCCCCCCCCCCCTTTTCAGCAAAAGTCCGGTGTGTAAAGTCAATACGGCTCGACCTTTTTCTTTTGTATACGAGCCTTTTTCAGCATCCCCCCCTTTTCAGCAAAAGTCCGGTGTGTAAAGTCAATACGGCTCGACCTTTTTCTTTTGTTACGAAAAGGACATTTTGGCAACACGCATGCGGTCATTTTGAAACCTGAGTGGGGGGGCCGGGCTGAAAATATAGCAGTCAGGAATGCTTTATGCCTTACATGTATCTCAAAACTCTGGATCTGCTAGCACCCCGTCTCCAGTCAATACAAACAGTATGATAACATTTTCTGATACAAGATGCATATCCTGTTCGAGATTCATCAAAAATTATCAACTGGAGTGCCATTACCTGATTGAGCATCTTTAATTATTATCCAGCTGCTAACTGCGCTCTTGGTAACAACATTCTGCTCCGCTCCTTTTGTACTTTTTTCATCTGGATTAAAACTGTAAAGAAGATAAAACGCATTCTCACAAAAGTATTTTGATACAAAATTTGTTTAATGCTGTGAGGTAATCATCCCAAGATTGTCTTAGAAGCTAAAAAAATGTGGTAGGCACTGTTCCCACAGTTCCGATGTACACGGCCCTCATCTTTTTCCGGTATGTGCACCCTACACTGGTGACCCCCTTTTGAGCTCCTTCAATATTTTCTTTCACTAGTTTGTCGAGGTTTTGATTTCTGAGTTATTTGTGTTGATTCTGACATTTCATCACGATGAGATAGCACCCCTCTATTTATTTGTTGCCTTTATTTTGTTGATGTAACGTCATGTAATGTTGCAACTACAAATATCAGTATTAAAGTGTTTTGGGGTAAATGAGTTAATAAAGGCAACATCCTTTTACTTCCAAATATTGTATTCTGCGATGGGAAGGGGTGTAAATAAATTGTATGATATGCCTCAAATTTACGGTGGTCACAATGCGAATCACCTGAAAGATGTTAAGCAGAATTTACAGAGTCTGGAGAAGTCCGGCAAAAACAAATGAAATATAACTAATTATCAAGAAGTTAATTTGGACTCTATGGGTAACTTTATATTGCTAAACAAACTTGTTTATTACAAGCTCCGTCTGAAACAAATTAAATAAAAGAAGAAATCAACAAACAAAAATCAAACAAGAATAGAAAACAACAAATCAATCTGCGATATATATGCGTTAATCAATTCTCTAAGCATCTTCCACGCTTCTTTGTATGCTTTTAATGACCTTTTAAACGTTGGCAAAATTCTGTATCTCATGATAGATATTTTACGTGATTATATCTATAGAAAAAGTACAATCATAAGTCCAACATTTCACTTACTTCTGATCTGTGAGTCGACGGATTAGGCTCGTCTTGCCAACACCTGCAGGACCAATGACCATTATTCGAGATCTGTTCCACGGGGCCTCTCCCTCCGTAATCGCTTCTTGAATATCCGCTGGCACTAAAATTGAAGAAGAAAAAATAGGAAAGATAAAGTGTTACAAAATTAAGACCGGTGTAGAAGTGTGTGGAAGCTAGGTCAAGCCTGGAAACGTGCAGGTATTTAAAAAAAATTACACTTGTCCTATTGTTAAACACGAATGTATTTCTCTCGCGATTCCCGGAGAAATAATTCTTAATGTCTGATTGTACATTTGTTTGGACAAAAGAGAAAGCAGCCTTTTCCTGCTTTATATCACTAGTTCTACATTTTGAGCGAGTCGATATGCGCTTGTGTTGCCATTTTTGCATGTGATAGTGAAATGCCAATACAACTGAGGATAATTTACTCACACAAGATCAGCATGCCGACATGATAAAGCGATACACTGTCGCAAGTGTTCAATTTCAGAAAATAAAAAGGAAAGAGAAAGAAAATAGAAAGAGAAGACAAAGGGAATGAGAAGAAAGAGAAAATTAAGGGAAATAGATTCAAATCTTTGGAATCAACTACCACACTCTAAAAAAAAACTGCTCAATTTGAGTCAAAATGTTACTCTTTTGGGTGGTCAAAAGGAAACCATCCGACTTTTGAGTAAACTTTACTCAGCATGTGTTGAGTAACAAATCTACCCATCTGTTGAGTAAAAATATTACTCAATAAAAGACTAAATCTCTACTCAGTTTGAATGAGTCAACCTTTACTCAATATTTACTCTTTGTTTAGCGGTTTCCTTTTTTACTCAGTACTGGGTAGAAACGTAATCAACTCATGTCGAGTAAGAAACTGCTCATGAGTTGAGCCAAATTTTACTCAATTAACGAGTACATGTTTTGACTCAAATTGTTTGAGCGATTTTTTTGCTCAATTATTGAGTATGCTTTCTGGGTAACGCTTAGTTGCTCAATCAATATTGAGTAAAAACATGTACTAAGTTAAGTACATGTTTTTACTCCATTAGGGGTGCAAACCGATGCAATAGCAGCACCTGTAGGGGTTCAATCCTGCACCCTTTAAAAGGTGCAATCCTGCACCCATCATCGAGGAATACTGGTAAAATTTGCTCGTACACAAATATATATTAAACATGCATGATGTTTCTTGGTTAGTAATCATATAATCAATATATCTATTGCTAAAACGTGAATGTAATTGTAACATGATCAGACAAAATAATATATTGGTTAATGATTGCCAAGGAAAATACAAAATCAAAAAATTGATGTGCATTGTCATAATTTGCTTAACAAATCATGATAAATGTATTTTTATGTGAACACGTGGAAAGTAATCATGAATATGCATGCAATATGCAAACTTTTATTTTGCACCCTCTTTTGGTCGATAGGGTTCATTTTTGTGGGAAGGGTGCAAAATCTTATATTGCACCCTTTTTTTTTAACCCCTTTTCCTTCAATAGGGTTCATTTTTATGTAAAGGGTGCAAACTCTTATTTTGCACCCTTTTTTGCACCCTTTTTTCTAAGAGTGTATCTCAGTTCTTTCGCATCTTTCTGCACGCGCACATGCATGCACGAGACATGCACATGACGGACAATGAAAGAGTACAAAATATCCAGTTCCTTAGGTAGACAAAGGAACATACAGCTGCTATTATGTAAAAATGTTTAGAACAGGTGTCACATGCATATTGACAGCTAGTTGCAGTTTCCATCGATCCAACTTTCACTCGCACCCGAGGTAAATTCGGGTAAGAGATCAATGTTGATTTATGTATCACCTGCCGCAGTGTAATACCCAACCGTAGTTTACTCAAAATTGATACAAACGAAATTCGTACTCAATGTTGAGTCATTGATTTACTCTTTATCGAAGGTAACAAATTACTTGGGTGACGAGTACCACTAAAATCAAGGTCTTACTCCAGCTTGAGTACTGAATTGCTCATTTTGTTACTCAACTTGTTTTACTCGGCACAATTTACTCGCTGACATTAAGAGTGCACAGCCTCTTAAAGTAAAGGTGTATTGATTTTAAATATTGATTTAGTTTCTATCATTGCACAAGGGGAGGTAGTTATCAAAATTGCCCACATTCAAAGTAACAATTATTGTCAATTTTGAAACGCTGAAATACTGCCCTACTTTCGCATTTGAAGAACTCTCAGATGACTGCAGAAATGTGTTACATCAAATTAGTGTAATTAACAATTAATGCACATTTGTCAGTGCCTGTTTTTCCTCTTCATGTATTTCTCTTTCTTCACCAGCCTGTGTAATTATTTATTATGTTGCCTCAGTCTAAATTTTAGACTTGGTTATATTTTCAAGAAAAAAAGCGTTATGAAACAGAAAGAAAGAAAGAAAAAAAAGAAAAAAAAAAATCATTTTTAGCTTCACTACGGCTTATTAGAAGGAGGGCATGGTAAATTAATTTTCACGCATCAACGCATGTGCAGCGTTTTAATCGGGGAACAACCACTGTCATGCAATTGTTCAAAGGGCTTTTTATTTCGAAAATAGGGTGATATTTCAGTGTGTTTTTTTATCGCACATTTATCCTTGCCCTAAAAGATGTGATGAAAATAATGTTCATCATAGTTTAATAGATTAGTTTCTAAGGGGGATGTGACAATATGTAGACGATCAAATTACCAAACAGATCCATCATCCCAACCCTGCCCTGTGTTCATACAACGTATTCGCCTTATTGCTGTCAACAGTAATTCCTCATGTTGTGATAGTGAATAAAATTAAGGCTGTAGCGAAAGTCACCCGATTATATTAAATGATTATACCTAATTTAAGCAGATAGTTCAGCGTTAGCTTATCATTAAAAACTTACATCGAGTTTCGTCCAAAAGAAGTATTTAAAAGTCTAATTAAAAATGTTGAAAAGTATATATTTTTATGTAAATTGGCCTGTAATGTATACAAGTAAAAATAACAACAAAAAAAACATAATATTCGTTATAATTTAAAAATGGATTGTGTGTTATTAAATGATTTACTCTTACTTAAAGAGTTAGGTTATTACTATTAGTATTATTAATCCGTCGTACCGATCGTAGTATTTACAGGTACAACCTGAATATAATTAGGGGTCTATCTTTTTTCTTATTCTCAAGAAATTTACCTTCAGGTATTTTGTCACTTTGTGCATTTATTCCACTGGAGGAGGGAACATCTAAATCTGATGGAGTCACTAACGGGTGTTCTATTTGTTCTTCCACGGACCCTTGATGCGACGACAGAGGTTCAGGGGCTCGACTAGTTGGACAGGGTGTTTTCTCTGATGATGTGGGGTGAAGGAGATGTCCGATGTATTCACTTTGTTGCCTAAGATCCATTTGCCTCAACTTTTCTGAACTTTCATCCATGTGTAGCTTCTTGTTAAAGAAATTGTTCTGAGAGTATAGACAAGCAGGCAAAATTCTTCAAAATAATGAGTCAATGGTTTTTGGTTAAGCGCCCCTCTCTATATCTATCATTCTCCTTCACATACACACACATGCACACACACACACCCACCAGTCTTAAGACTCTATGTCAGAATAATATGTGGACCTTGAAGCCTTTCTCCTGATTAAAGGTAAAGACCAGTTATGGTCATGCGATTGCATTGTGAAAGAAACGTTGTGGAATCGATCAGAAAAGGTTGATCATCTAGCATCTAGCATCTGCAAGGTTCTGGAATCATCAAAATGATAAGAAATTTGGCCCATTCTTCGTAAAGTTACAAGCACTATACACAGAAAGATGTATATGGGACTACCCTATATCTCTCACAGTCCATGAGAGAAACAAATTTACAAAAATATATGAATTAGTAGGCGGTTTCCCGGCAAATTTGTTATCATCATGTATTAGTCAAAACATATTCTTTCACATGATTGGTGATGAGAGCTTCCATATCATTTTTTTGAAATTGGGGCGTTTCCAATACTGGTCTTTACCTTTAATGAGTATGTATTAGTAACAATATAGTTTATATTTCTCTATGGAACTTATTTTTTAATTTAAGAACCGGAAGACAAAAGGATGCTTATCAAATTAATGACACCATTGATTATCATTATTGGTCCTTCTTTTGTATAAGGTTGTACATCCAAGCACTATGCTGATAATGAACAATCGATATGTACATTTTGAATACAGATCATATTTTTGAACAAGAGATGAATAATACTTAACCTAAAAACAATTAATTTCCAAAACAAAAATACCAGTGCTCTTCAATCCAAAGAAAACAGAAGGCATTTTGTAAATTTTGAGCGAGAACTAAACAAATGATTACAAAATAAAATATCGAGAAAGAAGAAACATGTACATCTATAATACCATTGAAGACGGACCCCGAAGAGCAATCTCCTGGTAGAAGTCTTCAGAAAGCCATGAAGGGGATTCCTGTGAATCCGTAATTGTGAGGTCGGTTAGACAGGGTAGAACGCAAAGGAATCTGGCGAGATTGCGAGACGCCATGCCATCATTGTATTCTAAACACCTGCCCTCCATGAGTACTTTCTGAATCTGTTAGATAAATATAGAGAGTAGCTAACTTGTGGATATTTTTATCAATTCAAATTCATGAAATGCCTAAGCCCATTGATCACCTGATTAAGCAGCTAATCGTGGTAAAGTAGATAACATGAATAGGTATTACAAACGCATGCGTAGCCGTGATTTCATTTTTGGAGGGGAAGCGAATTGTACATTTCATTTTACATTTCATTTCATCAAATCAGTGGAGAGATGAGCAAAACAAATTATTGGCGGGCTGAGCCGGTATTTTCTTTAGCACCAGAAACACAATATATACTATCAATTAAGTCCGTTAAATTAAAGGGTATACCCCTTCCAGCCCCCCCCCCCCAAAAAAAAGAGATAGAAGACTTGGCAATTTCCTGTATAAAACTTTACATTATAACAACGCCATCAGTAAATTAAATGACTTATATTGAGGTCACATAGCGACTAAGCTAGAAATGTTAATATTTTGTAGTGAACTTTGCAATTCAGAGAACTATAATATCAAAGCCAAGCTTTCTATGATCTATCCCCACCATATTCGTTCTTCTCTTAGTTCGTGCCATGATAAAAAATGATCTAAAAGGCAAAGTTACAAATGTCAAAAGGTGAACATTTCTTATTCGGTTTCTACGCAACCTAAAAAGCATTATTTAGACAATTGTCTGACTTTCCGATATCGAAGGACCTTCTGTCAACATTATTTTCTAAGAAGAGGCCTCCACAGGCTTTGAATCATCATCGATCTCCAATTGTTTCTTTAGCTCTTTTAAACAAATAAATGATAATTTCTGCTGAGCCTATCAATATCTATCCCACATTTTACTTTGTAATTTCAAAGTTATAGAATATTGCGCAAGGGAGGATAGCGACTGAGCGAAAAGACTTTTAAATGTGTCTAACTGTAAGAGCAGTTCAAAGTAAAATTTTGATTTCTTGTGCATTATTTTAAGAATTTAAATCCCCCCCCCCCTCCCCTGGAAATTTCTGCCCCTTTTAGCAGTAAAATATTGTACGGAGTTGAAAGAAATTGCATTACATTGCCTTTAAGCGTATTGTACACTGGGCAGTTTGGTTTAAAAGGGGAAGAACTAAAAGCTTTAGATCTCTTACATACTCCTGTAATTCTGCTGTCATAAACTATACTACTTTTTTTTACTTTATAGATATTTGAAAATAATAAAGTATAAAGTGCAAGGAAAGTCAGTTGCGGCATAAATTCTTGGCCGTTTAAACAGAAATTCTTCTTACGTAAAACCAAATAAGAAAGTTTGTGAGAAGCAAATGTACTCCCCCTTTAATTTTCTGCTTTATTCAAAATGATTTTGGTCTTGTTTTCTTTACTTATGCTCTCTTTTCCCTTCTTTGTTCTTCCGTTCTTCTCATGTTCATTTCCTTTTGTACTTTTTTTTGGGGGGGGGGTTCTGGAGGAGCCGACGCCCTAACACCCCCTTGGATAGTTTTTCAAGTTTTTAAGTTTCACTTTCAGCTTTACATTTTTCTCTTTTCCCCGTTTTTTTTTTTGTGGGAGCGGGAAGGTGATTCAGCTATGAAAGCTAGATATGAGGGGCGTTTTTGCACCTCCCTTTTTTTAAAATCAGGATCGCTGGCAATGCTTTTTTGTTGCAGGCTGAAAGTTGGTCGACTAAACACAAAATAATATTTTTATTAATTGATTGTGTTACCTTACCTTTGAAGAAGAGGCAAAAACAGCTAGCTCATGATAGAAATCATCATGTAGCCATAGGTTATGAGAGTCTTTCATCCTCAGGTCAGTGAGAAAAGGCAGAAGACATAGAAACTTAGCTAAGGCACGCGATGCCGTTGGATCATTTTTCTTCAGGTTGCAGTCTATGCATAGCTTTTCAATCTGTTCATAAATTAGATATTATAACAACTCATAAAACTGCTAATACAAATTTCTGGGTGCTATGAAACAATCATTTTTCTTCAGGTTGCAGTCTAGGCAGAGCTTTCCAATCTGTTTAAAAAAGTAAAGATAATTGAAAAATAAAAACAAAAACTTAACAGAATTCTTCTCCTGCGCTTTTCCAGTGCAGTGACCTCATATATAGCTACTGATAATTACGTACTATTGATACGTAACGGCTTGGGTTTAGGCTGCACTCGAAATTCAAAATGCCCCTTTTCGTTTTCCGAAAGCTTGATATTTAAAAACAATTTATACAGGAAAGATAATTGCATGTTATTTCAAATTAATGACATTCACTGTAAGATGGTTATTGATTTTCCATTAAATAGGTAGCTAGACGAGCAATTTTACATTAGATTCCATCACGCAGCCATAGATGAAAAGACTCTCTCATCTTTAAAGGTACCTTGTCACATATAAAGTCCAAACAAATGAAAACGTTACATTCTAACGCATTTGAAAGATAATACTAATTTAGAACTTTCCTCAAAACGAAATGGCTTAAAAATGTCTTTTAGTGGGAAAATAACGACCATTAGTTGTCGAATCAAATCAAATCAAATCAATCCAAATAATAGTCTGATTTTCAGACCTTAGTACGGTATGGTCGTACATTTTTGTGCTGCGCAAAGATTCAATCAGTTCAATTTTGGCCATTTTAAGAAGTGGGTTATTGATGTAGACAAATGCTCATGTACCTTTTACAGCTCATTTTATGTATGTTATTACCAAAGAAGAAGAAAAGCCAGTCAGTCACTGATTAGTGTCTGACAATGAAGTCTAGCAAGTAAACGGGTTTCCTTGCATAATTTGAAAATTAGGACACTGCTAACGTTTAAATTTTACAGATTGGACATACGTGACATATTCACAATTCCTGCAAGGTTCTACAGAATTTGATGTTGGCTGCAAATGGAACATAGAACCTTTAAAACTGAATCTTCCATTATAATGCAAAGTAAGTCAATGACATTATCAGGAGAGAGGGAATGAGAGATCAAACGAGAGAAACAGAGACAGAGAGAGCGTGAGGAAGAGAGATATTGGGTGATGCATAATAGTCATAATGGTTAATAATAGGCCTATTGCAGAATGGTGATGTAATAAAGTGGTTATTCAAGAATCTAGCAAGATTACGTGATGCATACTCATCGGAAATTTCCATCAATAATAAGTGATAGTCGTTCAACCTATTATGGTGATGAACAAATGGGGATCATCATAACTAGAGAATTAATAAAAGTATGCTTATCATTCCCTTTTGCGAAAAAAATGCATTTTCCAAAAACTTTCAGAGCGAGTCGAACATCAATAACTGTAGTTACTGCACTATTTCATAGTCATCTTATTTTTGTTTAAGCGGTATATAAAACATAGAAATATGGTAAGGCTTTGATCAACTAAGACATTGTAAGAATGTCTGGAGAGAGCCGTTTTGCACCCCCCCCCCCATGCAGATAATCCTCATTCCGCCCCACTTTGCCTCTTTCATACTCTCTACGAGGATTCTTCATACCTTTGACGTCTTGACTTTACTCTCTAGGATGCTATAGAAGTCGTTATCAAGCGCCGTGCCACTGAGTTCCAATGCCGTTAATGATGTAGATGAGCATATAACATCTGCTAGGTCAAGAGACTCTGCTGGACCACATGATCTACTCAATATTAGAGTTTCCTACGAATAAAGCAAAATATGCTAATGTAACTTCTGTGCACCTTACTTTATTGGAAAAAGTTTGTTAAAAAACACGATTTCAAAACGATAGCAACGATATGTGCAATCATATATAACTCCTTCTCACTTTAACCCCACCCCTCTCTCTCTCTTTCTCTCACTTTTTCTCCCAATCACTCTTCAGTCTCTTCGTATTATTCTTCTCTTCTGTTTGCTGTACTTTTGCATCACCAGGTACCCCTAGTTTATGTATGTTGCTTGTACATGTACTTAATTGTCACGGACAACAATGCATGACGCTTTGGTTATTTTGGAATACTGGCCACTTCTGTTTGAAATAAGTTTGATTTCTTCATGTATGTTGTTATGTATACTGATTTTGATATGTATTCATTAACAATTTTAAAAAGGGAGCCGTTTCATTTCTTTGATTGTTCCCGTTAAACATCCCAAAGGCATATATACAAGCAAAATGAACAATGAATCATTTATGTAATAAAATGCGGTGTTTATCATTTCATGTTACATTACCATTTTTAAGTTGTGGCATTTTTCAGCAACTATTTAAACTTACCACTGATATCTTATCCATGATGAAAAGATATCCACACACAGTGTGCGCTGACATCTTGTCGTTGATTTCTAGTGACTTTTGTTCCGCGAAGAGGTGCTGTCCAACCAGTTTTGCAGCGTCTTCTTCATACGCTTCGAAGGTGACATCCACCAGAATATGCCTAAAATTTCCAATTTTAATTAGCCTGCTAGTGACATCAGTAGCGACGTTCTTCGTTTGAGATGCAGTAAAGTATAAAAGGTAGCGAAACTCTTCTGCTCTCTGAATTACATAATTCATCTCCTGTTCAAACTGCTCGTGATCAGACTCAAAAAGAGAGGCAAGATACACACCGGCGAGGTATTCCTGGAATAACTTGTGAGGAAAGAAGACATTTGTTTTCACAAGATTCGTCGACTTTGTATGTCTATCGTGTCTACGAACTAACCGAATTTCATGACTGAGTACTCCAACCTTACAGCATGTCTCCATTGATTCTTCACATGAAGTGAAATCAACTTTTTCATAAACTAATTGCTTGTTCCTGATGCCACATAATGCAATTTTCCCAATTTGTGAGAAACAAAAGTCGAGCTGCGTATAATGTGTAACAGTTTCTATATCAAGATCTGTGACCTGCTTGGAAACGTAGTGGTCTTTCAGCGATATAATGATTTCTCTGAAAAGCTTGGATAAAGTCTTCAGGCTGCGAATTATTTCTCGTTTCTTGCTATCAGAATCCCGCCATAAAATACAAAGCATTGCAATGTAAATTGGAAAGGGAGCCATATTTTCTTGAATTACATCATTGTCTTCAATGAGTTTCA